TCATACACATAAAAAAATCAATATGTTTAAAAACTTTTTTTTTTTTTTTTGGTTTTTCAAGACAGGGTTCCTCTGTATAGTTTTGGTGCTTGTCCTGGATCTTGCTCTGTAGACCAGGCTGGCCTCAAACTCACAGAGATCCGCCTGCCTCTGCCTCCCGAGTGCTGGGATTAAAGGTGTGTGCCACCACTGCCCGGCTAAAAACATGTTTAAAAGAAATCTGACTCTAGATTGGTCCTGTGAGCATGTGGTTAAACCATGTCAACCCAGTTAACAAGTGGCAGCTAGAAGCCTCAGGTTCTTGTGGAGGTCTGGAAGCAGTTAAGCAGTGAAGGGTTACAGAGGGCGAAGTTCAATCTCCCCTGAGCTGAGCTCCCTTTATAACATAACATACGTGAAACACACTATTCACAAAATTAAGGCAAGAATAGTAATTCATCAAGAGACCTACCTATGCAAGAGCAAGACTCAGGACTCCCTGGCTAGTCTCCAGAGCCCAGCAGAGGCAGCTGTTTCTCGGGGTGGCCACCAGGTGGCATATAAGTCATGGACAAGAAGGCTCTCAATGATTCCAGTCTCTCTTCCCTCACTTGACAGTCTGTGTGTGTGAGAGAGACTGGCAATGTGGTGACAAGCCAGCATTCACATCAGCGTCCTAGGAGCTAGCCTGGGACTCAAGGCTGCTTTCTGTAAATTCTGTCTGTCTGTCTGAAGCCTGCAAATTGTTCTTGAATATGGCCTCCTCCTAAAACTGGAGGATCTCAGGGACGTAGAGCAGTCTTTTGGAACCTGATTTGCTGCTCCCAAGACCAGCTGGCTGCACTATTTCAATGTGTTGAGAGTCTTGGGATGTCAGCCTGGTGCCCTTGGCAATAACGCTCCTCCCGTCTTATTGGCTCCCCCCTCCCATTAGACTGCTTCCCTGTCTCTACAGCAACTGTGCTACGGACATCCTTGAATGGGAACACGCCATATTATTGTTTTGGTTCTCCTCTATTCTTGCCTTCATTTTGCTAACATTGGCCCTCACTTTGTCTTCTTCACCAGTGCTTGTCCAGGCTGGACATCTAGAATGGGCTTAGAGCATCTTGGAGCAATAAAGCTCTTAGCTTTGGGGTCAGTGGCCAGGTACTCATTCACTTGCCTATGTCCTCAAGTCTCCTTCCTGTCAGCTCTGTGTGTGTGTCTAAGGATCCATCTGGAAGGGGTTGATGGCAGGTCATTGTGGCGAAAGCCATGCCAATGATGGTGGGGGCTCACCCAGTCTTTAGTAAAACAGGAGATTGGGTCCAGAGGCACTGCCTGTAACCTCAGCATTCACAATGCTAAGGCAAGAGGATGGAGAGCTAGCGGCTAGCCTGGGCTACATAGTAAGACCCTGTCTCCAACAATATCAGGAGCAAAAGGTGATCCAGACACATACACGTGGGAGGCTCAGGGAGGAGATGCCACCGCTAAGCCATGGGGAGTAGCCACCTGCCCAAACCTTGATCTCCTCCTAGCCACCAGGGTCAGCAGAGCCCATGTGCGTTACATAAGCCCTGATCTGCAGTCCTCATCATAGCGGTCCCATTACACTCAGGGGAAGACCGGCTTAACAGCTCTGTAGCCTGGAGCAGCCCTCACACACCAGCTGCTTCGATCACTTACCCGCCTGCTACTCATTTACTCACTCCGTTAAATTCGGGACTATCGTGGGCAGCCCTTGTTTGGGTTCTGGATGCAGGAGACAAACCACAGACAGACAAGAACAAGAGCTGCCTTGATAATCCCACAGGCTGCCCGTAAGAGAGGAGCCAAAGAAAATGGGGTGAGGGGGCTGGAGAGATGGCTCAGAGATTAAGAGTACTGCTTGTTCTTCCTGAGTTCAATTCCCAGCAACCACATGGTGGCTCACAACCATCTGTAATGAGATCTGGTGTCCTCTTCTGGCCTGCAGGGATATGTGCAGACAGAACACTGTATACAAAAGAAAGAAAGAAAGAAAGAAAGAAAGAAAGA